TACATATATCAAATCATCACGTTGTACACCTCAGTATATACAATCTTGGTTGATTAAATCATTTTAAGAATAAAAGAATGATTTTTTAAAAGGATAAAAAGGAAAACACTGAACTTATCTGTGGCTCTTCTTTTTCCCTGCTCAGCTTTGAGCAACTGTGAAGGTAAAAACTGGATGCAGATGACCTGTGCACCCTACGACCTGGCATGGGGTTCCCAGATGTTAGGTCTTTAGGATTATTTGTTGAGGTACAAAGGAAAGCATTGCCCAGAGAACTGGGCCCTGCTTTCAGTTACATAAATACGGCCCATTCTTAAGGTCAGCAATTAAGTTCCAGGAAGATCCCTAGAGTCAGCTGAGCAGAAAATTACAACAAAGTCTCTGGGGCAATTGGGGATTTCCACGAGACATAGGAGCAGCTGGGGACTGCGTCAATGATAATGAAATCAGCTGGGTGGATGTAGCCGGGTCTCTAGAAACAGCCAGGCGGATGTAGCCGGGTCTCTGGAAACAGCCAGGTGGATGTAGCCGGGTCTCTGGAAACAGCCAGGTGGATGTAGCCGGGTCTCTGGAAACAGCAGGTGGATGTAGCCGGGTCTCTGGAAACAGCCAGGTGGATCTCTGCAAACAGCCAGGCAGCTAGCTATGGGGGGGTTGGAGGTGGTCACTGGAAACAGCTAGATGACTGTAGCTGACTATTTAGTAACAGCCGAATGTAACTGGGTCTCTGGAAAGTCACCCTGAGGACGGAGCTGGGAGATGAGAAGTGCTTCGTGGAAGCTGATGTCATGGGTAGAGGAGCACAGTCTTTTGCCTGGCAGGGTGTATGTGTGGGAATAGATTCCCCAGCCTCGCTCTCTTCTCACTCTCTGCTTTCTTGACGGTGCCTCCCATGGCTGAACTCAACCAGAAACTAGATGCAAGAAGATGTTGGTGATGCAATCCATAGAGTCAGCCTCCAGGGTACAGACAAGGCGGGAAAGGACAGAGGGTGTATTAAGAGTGGCCAGAACTTCCAGTGGGAACTGCTGCCACTGAACGGAGAACCTAAATGTAAGGAGTGTAGTTGGATACCAGAGTGGCAGGACTCAGTGTCAGAAGTCAGTGGACAAAGGCGAGAATCTGGTGTGTTGAACTGGGTGTGGTTATCACAGAACTGGGTGTGGTGATCATAATGGACAGCAGAGTCAAAGCAGTAATCCGAATAGACTGTCTCATGCAGCCCTTTAGTGTTGTCCAGTTGACCGCAGCGTTCTAAGACGTGACATAGATAGGAAACTTACTTAATTCTTACTTGATTTGTATCAGCAGAACATTTCTTGGCGAAGAGTAAGAATCTAATTAGAATCATAAAATAGAGAGTCACAGTTTCTTAATCAATTCCTGGAATTTGTCCAGTTTATAGACCCAGAACCCCTTGAATTAACAGGAAAACCAGGTACCCTTGAAGGCACTGCCCCAGTATATACTACAAAAAGTTATACAGTTATATTTCTCTCAGCTTTCCTTAAATGGACCTATGGCCTTTATCATGGTAACTGTGCATTGGGTAAAGGAAATAATCAGATATTTTGGGTACAGCTAGACACTGGCTCTGAGCTAACACTAACTTCAGAAGACCCAGAACACCATGGTGACCCTCCAGTCAGATTAGAAGCTTATAGAGGTCAGGTAGTCAATGAAGCTTTAGCTCAGATTTGTCTCCTATTGAATTTTCTTGGCCACCAAAGGCATCTGTGGCTTTATTCCTAGCTCTGGAATGTATAATTGGATTAGACATTCTCAACAACTATCGAAATCCCCACAAGTGGGGGAAAAGATAGGACAAGCTACGGGGCATATGTAAGACTACTGAATGTGTTGATGTTTGAGTAGTATTCAACTAGTAATTGCTGCATAGGATGAGCTGATTGAGTTATTGTTGAGTTTTTTTTTTTTTAATATTCTTTTTCTTGTATAAAACGACGTTTAAAAATCCACCCCGTTACCAGTATGCAGGTTTCTTTTCAGTTATTTTATTATGGTATTTTAATTGAAAAAAATAATTGTACATAATCATACGTATTTACTGGGTATCATGAGATGCTTTGATATATGTTTACCGTTGCAATCCGGCCAAAGGCATGCCCATGGTAAGTGTGCTATTTTTTATTTAAAATGTGCACAAAAATTAAGTCAGATGAGACACTGTCTCCCCCTAGTGGTTCTCAAGTCATTTTCCATTTTAATCTGAGTAGGGAGAGCATCTAACTGTATAAGAGCAGTGGAGAAAACCAACAAGTCCCAGCGCACAGAGGACTCAGAGGTCTCCTGACATGTGAGAATGTGTTCATGCTTGCGCATGCGTGTGCGTGCGTGAATGTGTGAGTACATGTGCATGTGTGTTATGTGCGTAAGTGGGATGAGCTGTCTGTCTTCACCCATCCATGCCTCCCCTCAGACACCTCAATTCATCCCGGATACATACGCTCCATCCTGGAGGCCTAAGATGAGCAAGTTCAGGGGATCTTATGTACAGCATGGGTGGGGATGGATGTGCTGATTAATTTGACCGTGGCTATTATTTCACAATGTATATGTATATCAGATTATCACCTTGTGCATCTCGAATATATGCAATCACTGCCAATGAAATACTTACAAAAAATACTGACACCTCCTTTGTAGTTCTTGTTAATCCCATGCAGCCTTGAACGACATGAAGGCAGAGACTGGGTCCGAGTGATCTGTACACCCCAGAGCATGACACAGGACTGCCAGATGTGAGGTCTTTAAAGTATTTATTGGTGCAGGAAGTAAAGCATGACCCAGAGGACTGGTCTCAGCTCTCAGATCCATATGTATGGCTCGTTCTCAAGATCAACAGCTAAACTCTAGGAGGACGTTCAGGATCAGCTGAGTAGATGATTGCCGGGGCAGCTCGGGGGATTTACAGAAGACATTTGGAAACTGCAGGGGGATGCGACGTTGTTGATGGAATCAGCTGGGATGACTACAGCTGAGACTCAACAGCCAGGACACTGGAGCTGGGTGTCTTGAAACAGACAAGTGACAGCAGCTGGGTCACTGGAAACAACCGGGTGACTGGTGTGATGGTGCACACCTGTAATTCCAGCTACTTGGGAAGCTGAGGCATGATAATTGCTTGAATCCAGGAGGCAGAGGTTGCAGTGAGCCAAGATCACACCACTGCACTCTAGCCTGGGAGACAGAGTGAGACTCTGTCTCTGACAAATAAAATAAAATAAATGATTGTAATTTTTAAAAAATAAAAAATAAAAATAAAATAAAAATAATAAAAAATAAAAAACCCCCAAATATATGACCTTTTGTGTCATGATTCATAATAGCTAAATAGTGAAAACAACTCAAATGTCCATCAATTGGTGGATGCATAAACAAAATGTGATACAGCGGTAGAATGGAATGTTCTTCAATCACATAAGGGAACAAAGGCCAATGACATGTTACAACATGCATAGACCATGAAAACATTACACTAAGTGGAACTGGATTTTTGCCGTTGTCGTTGTTAATGTGGTGAATTTATTTTTACTTTTCTTTTTTAAGTTTCAATAGTTTTGGGGGAACAGGTGGTGTTTCGTTGCATGCGTAAGTTCTTTAGCAGTGGTTTTTGAGATTTTGGTGCACCCATTACCTGAGTGGTGTACACTGTACCCAATGTGTGGTCTTTTATCCCTCACCCCCTCCCATTGGTCCCCCTGGGTCCCCAGAGTCCATTATATCATTCTTGTGCCTTTACATCCTCATAGCATAGCTCCCACTTACGAGAACATACGATGATGGTTTTCCATTCCTGAGTTATTTCACTTAGAATAATGGTCTCCAAGCGCCTCCAGGTTGCTGGGAATGCCATTGTTTTGTTCCTTTTTATGGCCAAAGCATTCCATGGTGTGTGTGTATGTGTATGTGTGTGTGTGTGTGTGTGTAATATACATATTTTCATATGTTTGTTGGCCATTTGTATGTCTTCTTTAGAGAACTGTCAAAAGTCAAAAGGAGAATTGGATTTGGAGGGAACAATTTTATGGCTATTTTTCAGTATAATCATCAGGTGAATATAGAATCTTTCCGGCCAGGGTTACTTTAATCTGTTACCTGTAGCCAGGAAGGGAGACGTTTATCACAGAGACAGGCACCAACCTGGAATGTTTTTCCCCAAAGGTGAGTAACTGTAATGTGAGCCCTAAAATTCACCACAGGTAGGTCCTGATCTGGCACAAGATATGCTTTATCCACTGACGTGAAATGTCCAGGTGTTTTTCGTATGGTTTTGTTGCCGAAAGACACAACACCCTCTAATCTAAGGCATCCTCTCCAAATCCCACTGAGGCATAGGAGCAACACTAGGGAGGGGGTCCCGGAGCTTCCTGTGAGAGATTCGCCTTCTGAACCCCGGGCAGATCCTCCCCACCCTGGGATCCCTGCGAACCTCTGGGGTCTCCTATTCAATCAGGACCAAGCTGTGAGGTGGGATTCCTCCCAGGCTACAGTCTCCCCGCTCCCTCTTTCAATTTCATCAAGACAGATCAGGAGCGTGAGTGTGGGAGTCATGGCGTCTCCTCCCACAGCCCCTGGCTGTGCAGATGGAGGAGGCCACAGTTCCTGGATGGAGTAAGTCTACTGGGAGCCTGGGTTCTCCATCATGAGGCTGTCCCGTCAGCAGCCCCACAGGAAGGGCAACTGCTCTCTCCGGGAGGCTGGCTTCCATTTCCCCAAGGCTGGGGCTGGGGCAGGCACCAGGCTCTCTTCAGATACTTCATACAGAAGTTGTATCTCCCTGACCCTTTTCTGCTATTTGCCCCATCTGTCCTCATCTCACCAAGGGTCAGGACATAGGAGCCAATAGACCCAGCACCTTTTTGAGTCTGTCCTGTCCAAGTGAGGGTCACTGGGGGCTTGTTCTTCTCAGAGCCTCCCCGTGGGGTCTCCTTCCTTCCTTCAGCCCGTCCATCAACACAGCATTAAGGGATCCTTACCATGGCGGCCCAGCCCTGGGGATGCTTCACGGAAGCTGCAGGTCCCTGCTGCAGGGCAGACTCAGATCGGCAGAGACACGTTGCACATCTGGCTGTGAACTTCAAGTTGAGCTGCAAATGGCAATGAGAAAAAAGGAGAAAGAAAGAAAGAAAGAAAGAGGAATAAAGAAATAAAGAAAGAGACTCTTCTTTTGTCGTTGGAATATGGGTTTTATTTCTTCCCAACAGTTTCCTTCTTAGACTTTCCTCCCCACTTTTTTCTATTTTTTAATAGTGTTCACCTCCCCCTCCCTTAAAAGTAACCTCTGAGTCATTCCTGCCTCCTCGGTGTCCCTCCCACCCCCAATCCCGCTTCCTTGGGCATTCCCCTGCATCTCAGTCTGCCTTCAAGGGTTTGGAAACAAGTACTTAGTCTTGAGTTCTGATTTCGGGGTGGGATAGGGAGTTAATTTTTTCTGAATTGCTGACCTTCACCCCTGCCTGCATGACCTTGGGCAGTAAGCCCCATCTCTGAGCCTCGGTTTCCTCATTTGGGGCCTGTTGTCATGAACCCGCCTCCTGAGCGGTTCGGGGGCCAGTTGTGCCTGGGTCATGGGAGGACCTCGGTCATGGCACATTTCCAGACTGGGTTAAGACTTGAGGGGTGGACACATGTGTGGATCCTGGTGTTGGACTGTACAGTCACGGTGAGCGACTGACGTGCTCAACAGCCCACATCTGCTCCCAACACTGGGAAAACCTACTTACAATGTGTCTGAAATATGCAGCCACAGTCCTACAAAGAAAATGAGAAATGAAACTTCTTGTTATAGGCAGGAAACATTAAGAAGCAGAAGAGGTCAGAGCCGAGTGGCTGCTGGTGACTTGCGATGTCAGGCGGTCACTAAGGGGGAGGTTTCCACCTCTGTATGAGACAGAGGAGAACCCCCGGGCCCTCACACTCAGGGAGGGGTCATGGTTTTGGACGGAAGTGGGGAGTTGTGGCTCCTCCTCCCCTGTGTTTGTGGATGGCACTGGGGTATCTCTGCCCATTGACTCAGGTCCATGGTCACCCCTGAGCCGCCTCCTCCATGTGTGCGAAACAGATTCACTGCAGTGTTATCACACATGGGCGTCTGTCCCACATGCGAGTCTGAGGCTCACATTGGCCCCTCCCCTGCTGGTGACAGCCCTGAGCAGACTTGTGTGGCACTGGCGGGTGGCACCATCTCCCCTTTTCCAGCCTTTGCTCCCAGCACAGCCCTGGTACAAACCCTCTCTGGAAGGTGAGGCATGTGGGAAGCATGTGTCCGAGAATGACAAGAAGGAGGAATTAGCCTCATGATCAAAAGTGCTATGATGGGCCGGGCACCGTGGCTCATGCCTGCAGTCCCAGCACTTTGGGAGGTCAAGGCAAGCAGGTCATTTGGGCCCAGGAATTCAAGACCAGCCTGGGCCACACAGCAAAACCTCATCTCTACAAAAAATACAAAAATTAGCTGGATGTGGTGTCATGAATAATGGCCTCCAGCTCATCCAAGTTGCTGCAAAACTCAATCCCTTGTACATCAGTTGCAAATAATTAAAAATACCTAAGCAGATACCTAACCAAGGAGGTGAAAGATCTCTACAAGAACAACAGTAAAACGCTGCTGAAAGAAATCGTAGATGGCACAGCAAAACAGAAATGAATCCCATGCTCATGGATTGGAAGAATCAGTATTGTGAAATGATCATATTGCCCAAAGCAATCTTCAGATTCAATGCAATTCCCATCAAAATACCAGTATCATTTTGCACAGGATTAGAAAAAGCAATCCTAAATGTCAGGCCTCTGAGCCCAAGCTAAGCCATCACATCCCCTGTGACCTGCACGTACACATCCAGATGGCCTGAAGCAACTGAAGAGCCACAGAAGTGAAAATAGCTTAACTGATGACATTCTACCGTTGTGATTTGTTTCTGCCCCACCCTAACAGATGGATGTACTTTGTAATCTTCCCCACCCTTAAGAAGGTTCTTTATAATCTCCCCTACCCTTACGAAGGTTCTTTGTAATTCTCCCCACCCTTGAGAATGTACTTTGTGAGATCCACCCGCTGCCTACAAAACATTACTCCTACCTCCACCGCCTATCCCAAAACCTATAGGAGCCAATGATAATCCCATCACCCTTTGCTGACTCTTTCGGACTCAGCCCACCTGCACCCAGGTGAAATAAACAGCCTTGTTGCTCACACAAAGCCTGTTTAGTGATCTCTTCACACGGACACGTGAGACACTAAAATTCATATGGAACCAAAAAAGAGGATGAATACCAAAGCAATCCTAAGAAAAAGATCAAATGTCAATCGAATACACGTATCCTAGGCGGAATTGTGGGGTTTTGTTTTTGTTTTTGTGAGACAGAGACTCTCTCCGTCACCCAGGCTGGAGAAACAAAACCTTATTCAAAAATATAGAATCGTTTGTGAAACCTGGCAATTGTGAATAGTGCTGCAATGAACTTAGGAGTGTGGACATCTCTTCTGTGTGTCAATATCATTTCCTCTGGGTATACACCCAGCAGTGGGCTTGCTGGATTATACGGTGGTTGCATGTTTAGTTTTTTGAGGAGCTTCCATACTGTTTTCTAAAATGGCTATATTAATTTACACATCCACCAATGGTGTGTAAGGATTTTCTTTTCTCCCCATGCTCACCAACACTGATCTTTCACCATTTTGATAACAGGCAATCTAACAGCTGTGAAGTGATAGCTCACTGTAGAATTTCACTTTTTACACATACACGTGTATACATATGTATACATATATACATACACATGCATATATATGTACATACATATCTGCACACATGTACATATGTATGTGTGGATGTATATGTATGAATACACATATTTGTATATATACATATATGTACACACTTACATACATATAAACTTCAAGAAGCTATAACCTCACATCTGTTAGGATGGTTACTATGAAAAACAGTAGAGTAGCAAGTGTTGTGAGAATGTGGAAAAAAGTGGAATACTTGCACTCTGCTAGTGGTAATGTAAATGAGTACAATGACCGCAAAAATACTATAGATGTTTTTCAGAAGTTAACGATCAGAACTGCCCTATGCTGCAACAATTTCACTGCCGGGTGCGTATCTAAAGGAAACGACATCAGTACGTTGAAGAGACGCCCGCTCTCCCATATTCATGACAGCTTTAGTCACCATAACCAAGACATGGAACCCGCCCAAGTGTCCATCAGCAGGCGAGTGGATACAGACAAGGAAGTGCTCAGAGTATCCACAGCGGAAAAACTACTCAGCCTTCTAGAAGAAGGAAATCGTTTCATTTGTGACATGGATGAGCCTCGAGGACATCACGCCAGGTGGAGTAAAGAAGACACAGGAAGACCCCTGCTGCCTGATCTCACTTATGTGTGTATTGCCCCAGTTCAGCTCATGGAATTAGAGAGTCGAAGGTGGTTCCTGGGAGCTGAGGGGCGGGGGTGGAATCAGAGAGCTGCATCGAAGGATACCGCGTTTCAGTTAGACAGGAGGAGTGAGTTTAGCAGATCTGTTGTACAATACGGTGACTACAGTTGCTCACAATGGATTGTATACGCGAACATTAGTAAGAAAGTAGATTTTAGGCCAGGCGCGGTGGCTCAAGCCTGTAATCCCAGCATTTTGGGAGGCCAAGATGGGCAGATCACGAGGTCAGGAGATCGAGACCATCCTGGCTAACACGGTGAAACCCCGTCTCTACTAAAAAATACAAAAAACTAGCCGGGCGACGGATGTAGGTGTGCTGTAGTCCAGACTATGCTGGAGGCAAGGCAGCGAGAACTGTGTAAACCCAGGAGGCGGAGTTGCATGATGCTGAGATCCGGGCCACTGCACTCCACCTGGGCGACAGAGTGGAGACTCTGTCTCAAAAGAAAAAAAAAAAAAAAAGAAAGAAAGAAAAGAAAGTAGATTTTAAGTGTTCTCTTAACAGAAAGGAAACTATGTGATGTTACAGATGTTAATTAGCTTGACCTAGCGCTTTCACAGGGGATATTAAAACGTCACAGGATATATTAAAATAAAACACCCTAAGTATGTAGAATTTTAAATTGCCAAATAAAATAAAGTAAAACATTAAAGTAAAATAAAAAAATTATTATTTTGAAACAAAAAAAACATAGTTTAAAACATGCCTTTTATAGAATGGAAAATTCCATTCTATATGTGATGACTTTTTTTTTTTTTTAATTTTTTGAGACAGAGTCTAGCTCTGTTGCCCAGGCTGGAGTGCAGGGGCGTGATCTCAGCTCACTGCAACCTCCACCTCCCGGGACCAAATGATTCTCCTGCCTCTGCTTCCCCAGTAACTGGGATTGTAGCGTGCGCCACTACGTCCAGCTAATTTTTTTTTTTTTTTAGTAGAGATGCGTTTGCCATGTTGGACGACAGGCTGGTCTCGAACTCCCGGCCTCAAATAATCTGCCACTTCTGCCTCCCAATGTGTTGAGATTACAGGTGTGAGCCACCGCACCTGGGCACATTGCCTCTTTTTCTATTCTCAAGAAACATTTGTGATGCTCTGGGTGTGTTTGTGCATTTCATTAGTGTGTCAGTATGCGTAAGAAATCACCAATGAAGCTTCGTGAACTGGAGTTTATACCATGCGAACATTTTTATTACAGTGTTTTTCACACACACACACACACATATATACACACACACACATCTAAAATGGGTCTGATTCTCTGATTACTCTTATGTTCATTACGTAAACTCCAGTTTGCAATACTTCATCTATTTAATCTGCATTTTCTAGTATATCGGCATAGGTTTGCTGCCTGTTCTGTTGTTAGTTTTTGAAAACATATGTGGGATCTCTAGGGCTGTCTGCTCACTCACTCCTGTGTGGAAATGCGTGCCTGCTCTTTCTTCCTCTTGCTTATTGTAGTTAGGATTCATGAGTGCAATTAATGTTTTCAAGAATGAGCTTCACTGGCTTTGTTGAATTTTCAAGCTTTGGTTTTTCCTCATGAATAACTCCTCTTATTATTATTATTATTTTTCCCTTTCTTACGCCTTCATTTGGAATAATTTGTTATTCTTCTTCTAGATTTCTTTTCTTTTTTCTTTTTTTTTTTTTTTTTGAGAGTCTCCCTCTGTTGCCAGGCAGGAGAGCAGTGGTGCGATCTCAGCTCACTGCAACCTCTGACTCCCTGGTTCAAGCGATTCTCCTGCCTCAGCCTCCCGAATAGCTGGGATTACAGGCACGCCCACCACCACACCCAGCTAATTTTTGTATTTTTAGGACAGACAGGGTTTCACCATGTTGGTCAAGATGGTCTCGGTCTTCTGACCTCATTATCTGCCCGCCTCGGCCTCCCAAAGTGCTGGAATGACAGGCGTGACTCACCGCGCCCGGCCCTAACTTTCTAATAGGAAAACCAAGATCATTCATTTCCTTTTTTTTCTTTTCTAATTCATTCATTCGTGGCTTGTAGTTTTCCAATTTCATCGTTTGATGTGTAATATTTACATTATGATTCAGTTCAATGCACTTTCTGACTTTTAGTTTTCTCAGTGACTTCAATGATTATTGACAAGTCTGTTGCTTTATTTCAAAAATGTATAGATGTTAGTTATTTATACTGCAGAACTGAGTGACCCCTAAAAGTTCCCAGCGTCTCCTGGTGTAGGTCCAGGCTGACTGGGGTTCAATGGTGTCCACTAGGGGCAACTCCCATGCGTTCCAGACTCCCTGGAATGTGGGGTCTGGGTCCCCTCTGGGCTAGTGGATGGTCAAGGTGGCGTAGATGCTGGACTCAACTGGAGGCGCCCTTTCCTGGGTTGGAGGAGGCTCAGTTGCCTCCCGTCTGAGGGTCAAGCTCTGCAGCTGGGCGTAGGTCACATCCTGGGGGTCTTCAGATGCAGCAGCCTGCAGTGGGGGAGAGTGAGAGGGAAGGAACGTGATGGGGGTAGGGGAAGGCTGGGGGCCTGGAGAGGAAAGGACCAGCCTGAGTGTCCGTCTGCCTGTCCTCTTCCGCCTGTGTGTCCTTTGTGTCCAGGAATTCCTCGGACAGTGGGGAGGGAGGGGAGGCCATTTCTCTCCTAGGTCTGGAGTGTTTCACCCGGGCATGTGTCACTGCCTGGGGGTCTTCATTGTGGGCTCTGCTGGAGAAAGACACTGGTGGGGGGTGTCCTTGAATCCCCCTGACCCCCTGGAGTCAATTTTCCCCACTGTTCCCAGGATGATCCAATTACATCCTTTTCCTGATGGAATCTCAGGGACGCCCTAAGGCCGTGGAGAGTCTGGCCGCTCCCTCCCTGTGGTTCTGGCCTCTCCTTCTCACTCTGACCTTGCCCATTTGGCTGCAGCCTCACACGGCCTTCCTGAAAGAGCTCGCTGCTGCCTCGGGGCCTTTGCACGGCTGTTTCTTCTGCCTGCAGGGGCTTGTCCATTAGAGGATCCTGTGGCCCCCTCCGTCCAGGCTTCTCAGATGACAGCTGAGCAGACAGCCTTCCCCTTACCATTCAGACTGGCCCCACTGCCCCACACTCTGCCCTTTCCCTGGTTTATGTTTCTTACAGCACGTTGCACTTCTGCACATGGTGCATTTATTTGCATTTTGTCTCCCACCACCAGGTGAGCTCAGGAGGCGGGGGCGGCTCTGCCCCCTGCTGTGTCTGCAGCTCCCACAGGGAGCCTGATCCACAGTGAGCTCCTGGGAACACTCGCTGGATGAATGAATGAAGGGAGCCCAGAGGACCGGGGTGGTTCATCTATTCCTCATCCTCCTGAGGCCTGGGGGGCGCTCTAACCACCAGACGGCCAAACAGAGGAGGAGGAGCGGGAAGGGGAGCCGGGAGGAGGCCCGCGAGGTCCCAGGACAGCAGGAGAGAGTGAGGTCACAGCAGGCGGGAGGCAGCGTGCTGGACAAGGAGGGGTCCACCGTGATGATGCTGAGAACCGGGGGAAGAGGCCAGAGAAGTCCTGCAGGATTAGATCTGGCACCAGGAGGCCTTTGGTGCCCGGGACAGGGGCGGGGTCTCACCCGACTGTCCAGCTCCACCCCGTCCTCAGGCTGTGTGTCCTTCACGGCAGCATCTGCTGGGACACAGCAAGGGGTTTGTCTCCTGGGAAGGTTCCCTGAGACCTCTCAGTCCTGCCGGCCCCTGCCCAGCTCCCAGACGGGGCCACTGCGATGCAGGGAGGGGCTGCGATGTCCCCGAGGTCCCACAGTGTGGGGTGAGATCATCTCACCCTGAGCCCCAGACCCTTTCCAGCCTGTGCCCCTTTCCCCATTGCTACGGAAACTTTGGGGCCCCCATCTCCTCCCGGCTGGTCGCCTCCCCCATCTCCTCCTGGCTGGTCGCCTCCCCCATCTCCTCCTGGCTGGTCGCCTCCCCATCTCCTCCTGGCTGGTCGCCTCTTCCTGTCACTCACAGAGGTTTTCTTCCTGGGCCTCGGCAGCTGGGCTGGACCTGGGGGAGGAACGGGAGCTTTAGGGGCAGTGTAGGGGCCAGGGGCCCGGTGGGAGTCTGGGGTCTTCGGGCAGAATTACCTCCTCTGAAGGCCTCTGTCTCTGGGCTCTGGCTCCACAGCCCCTGCAGGATGTTGGAAATCAGCCTTTCTCTGGGCTGGGGGAAGAAGGACAGAGCCTCAGCCCTGGGAACATCGGAGCCCCCTGCCCCCCACACACAGCTCTAAGGTAAGGAAGGAAACCGGAAAACACTCCTGCCTCCGTGTTCCAAACGCCCCATGAGATGGACAGAGCCCGAAGGACACTTTACATTTGTAGACGGGACTGACATTAAGTGCTTTTTCCATTCGCCTGGTGAAAAATGCTGGAACAGTTCCTCAAAGCTGCATTTGCCCAGTGGTTTGGATTCTCTTTGGCTGCACCCTGAGCCCACCCTCGGTCAGCCCACAGGGTCTCCCCTTCCCTACTCACCCGATGTCCAACGTTTGCCCTGACGTCGATGTCGGAGGACGAGGAAGAGGAGGAGGAGGAGGAAGAGCAGCAGGACGAAGGCCACCAAGATGCCAGTCACAACCTCCAGGTGCCTTCCCAGACCTTGAGCATGATGACATCAGAAATAGGGGTGATGTCACTGAAATGAGCGCCTACTGTGTGCAGGTGACTGCTGGACCTTCTGTTCACCACCTCCAACCCCTACAACAGAAACATCCACCCCACCCACTTTACAGATGAAAAACTGACGCTCAAAGAAGTGAATCGCCTGTCCCAGGACCCCCAGCCGGGAAGCGGCACAGCTGGGAAGGGAACCCGGGAGTCTGACCTGCAGCCCTTGTTCCCTGCACCAGAGCTGAGCCCCGGAGATGCAGGGAAAGAGCCTGACCATCCTGAACCACAGCCCTGCTCCCCTCCCCTGCCCCAGGTCACCGTCACTGCTGCAGGTGGGACAGGACAGGCCCCTGCGGAATCGGGTCTGGGAGGCTTCCCTGGGAGGCCTCCTCTCCCAGGAGGTCACAGCTGGGAGTCAGAGCTGAAAGGAACGTTCCCACCCGCAGGCTTCTTTCCTTTACACCTGGAGAAACTGAGGCCCAGGCAGGGGAGGGGCCTGTCCACGTCACCACCTCCAGAGGAGCCTGAACCTAGGACAGAACCCACCCCTGCCTCCCCCGGACCCCGCCCACCTTCCTCTCAGAGCCCCCACTCACCACTCTGGGGGTCTGACCCCGTGGGGGTGAGGGGCTGGTCCTCAGGGCCTGCTGGGTCAGGATGGGAAGGTGAGGGCTGGGGCTGCCCTGCTCCCCATGTCAGCCCGGCTGCTCCTCCCCCAGGCTGGGCCCCAACACCTCCTTCTGCCTCGACCCCGCCCCTCACCGGCCCAGCCTGAGCCCCTGGGAGCCTGTGGCCCCTCCTCTGGCTCTGCCCGGCTCCCTGGAGGGAAGGCCATGCCTGAGTCCTTGAGGGGAATGGGATTCTCTGGGAGACTCAGGGCTGCCCTGGGGGAGGCCGTTCTCCCTCTGAGCCCAGAAGCCTCAGTGATTTACCACATGTGGAGGTGGGGCCTGTTGTGGGGGAGCTGGGGCCTCCGGAGGGTCCTGGGTTAAAGAATGAGAGGAGGCTGAGGAGCTGGGGCTTCCCTGAAGTCTCCACCTCAAACCAAATTTCTCTACATGGGGGCTGTGGTCTTCCTAGCCTCTCCCTCCACCCACCTCTCCTGTTCATGATGCTGGCGATGCCGCTGAGGGTGGGCATGCCTTCGGGGGAGCCGTCGTCCTCCTCCCCTCTGATGGGTGAGTCTCCCTCTGGCAGAGACCCCCGTCGCATCCCCACTCACTTCATCCCAGCCCAGAGCTCTCCTGGGGGCAAGGCCTGAGCTGAGCCTTTGGGCTCAGAGAGGACAGGGTCAGGGCCCTCACCTGAGACCACGAGCTCCAGGGGGTCACTGGGGACAGACAGCAGGTAGGGGTTGGAGCTGCGTGAGCCGTAGCACCTGTAGGTCCCCGCGTGGGCTGAGGTCACAGGACTCATGGGAAATTCAGCCTGGTACTTAGGATATTTGTGCATTGATCTTAGATGGAGGTGGGCATCAGCTGCTCCCGCCTGGGTGAGAAGGAAAGCGTGGAACTGCCACGAGGACTGACAGAGCAGGGTCACGTTCTCTCCTGAGGCCACCTTGGGGCCCGGCTGCACTGAGATGAAGGGTGTGCCACGGATCTGTCCTGGAGAGAAGAAGGATGGGTGAGGGGCTGCCCCACCTGGTTCTGAGCTGACGCCTCTCCAGGCTTCTATCTGGGACCCTCAGTCTCTGTCTCTGTTTTCTCTGAGTCTTCCCTTCTCCCCATTCCCTGTCTCTGTCTGTCTCTCTCTTCCTTGGGGCCCCCACCCCTCATCCCGGCCATCACCACCTGGGATCCCCCGGCAGGGCCTGTGCAGAGCCTGGGTCCCTGACTGAACCCGCTGGGCTCCTCACCTGCGATCAGGATGTCCAGGGGGTCACTGGGGGCCGACCACTCGGGGGAGAGGTTGTGTGCACCATAGCATCTGTACTGGCCCCTGTGGGAGCGGCTCACAGGGCCCAGGAGGAAGTTGCCCTGGGAGAGCCCGGCCTGGCGCTGCCGACCAGGGCGCTGGAGGAAGTCATCTTCTCCCTCCTTGTACAGAGCGAATCTGTTGTAGCCGGCATCAGAGCCACACTGGAGGGTCAGCTTATCCCCAGGGGCCACGACAGGACCCGGCTGCACTGACAGTGACGGCTTCTTAGAAACACCTGGGAAAAGGTGGTCACGGTTTCCAGGAGCGACCCTCAGGCTTCCCCACAAA